TTTTAGTCAAATCATGTAATGGAGCAGCTATGGTTGCAAAGTCCTTCACAAACTTCTCTGAAAGCTGACCTTTTCTGGCCTTGAATCCAGATGACTGTACCAACCTCGGTACCTCTGTGCTGGACTTAACGTAGGATTCAAATTCGAGAGCTCTGGTCATTGCATCCTGCATGGTAGAGGGGTGTGCTTGCTTCACTTGTATCTTTAGTTGTGGACTGTCCAAGGCGTCTACAAACTGATCTCTCAACAACAACTTGAGGAGATCGGGTAGTGCAGTTGGGTAGGCCTTGTGTGCCATGCTTTCAAAGTTCTGTGCCAGCTCTTGCAGGCTCTCCCCTTTAGCACGGACTCTCGTCCTAAACCTAGCCCTGTAGACTTCTGACTGATTTTGGGTTCCGTACCTGAGTTCTAGAGCCACTACCAGTGCTCTATAGCCTATCATCTGCTGACAACTGTCCAAGTATTTCCAGTGGTTGTCTCTTCAAGCTTTTTGCCAGATATACTGTTTTCTGCTCCTCTGTCCATCCGTTCATCTCTGCCAGTAGCTCAAACTGTGCTCTATACGAGAAAAGAAACAAGAAGAACGAGAAAAGAAACAAGAAGAGAGATTACAACATTGTTGGAGGAAAAGAAAATAAACAAGAAGAAAGACAACAGCAGTTGCAAGAAAACTTGCAACAGTGGCAGCTCGAACAGCAAAATAAACAAGATAAATTACAGCAGTTGTTGGAGGAGAAAGAACACAAACAAGAAGAGAAACTACAGCAGTGACAACTGGAACAAGAAAGGAAACAAGAAGTACAAATGGAAAACATTGGTAAATTTAAAAGCGAATTAGATACATTAAAGGATGATTTATTGTCTTTTACACAAGGAGGATACATTAGCCATCGACTTAATCAGCCCCAGACAATGACAAGCCCCCTCCAGACCCTGCAGCGAAACCCTAATGCAGACATCTTCAGCCCTGTTAGAAGTCACATCCCAGATAAGAATGTCAGTACTAGGAGTGATTCAGTAAGAAGGAAGCCACAGAAATACGATGGGAAAGCACCGTGGGAAGCAGAGCAGCAAAAGAAACAAGAAAAACGAGAAAAGAAACAAGAAGAATTGTATTGCTGCCATCAAATCTGCTAAGCTGTAGTTTGATTTGCCGCTTCTCGTTTCCATTTTTTTATCCCACTTCTGACACCAATTTGTTACGTCTCCGTTCGTTAGTTAATTTTTCGTAAAACTTCTTACCGAAGAAACTTTACCGATACAAGTCCTTTCTTAAACAAAACTGGTTTATTCTTACTGAATACAACTTAATTTCAACAGTCGCCCTATAACTAACAACAAATGTCTCACGTGCCCAACAATATTCTCTCTCTCTGTCCACAGTTCTATTACTCATTACCTTACGTTGTTTCTTGGCTGGTCTTATATATACTAGACTACCCCCAATCTAGTAGTTTCCCGACAATTCACGAAGGAACATGATATTTCTAGAAGGAGGTGGCGTGATACTAGTCATGTGACCTCGCTGACGCAACAGTATCATCAATTCTTGGCAGTGGGTATGAGTCTTTTTCGGTTATACTGTTAAGAGCCCTGAAGCTCACACAGCAGCGTTGGGTCCCATCCTTCTTCCAGACTAACACGATGGGAGCTGACCAGGGACTATCTGATTTCTCAACTATCCCTTCCTTAATTAGGCCATCCATGACCTTCTCCATATCTTGCCACTTTGCCGGGGTTATTCTCCTTGAAGGGATCTTTAGTGGATGGTGAATGCTTGTGTTTATTTTGTGTTCCACGAGTTCTGTGCAGCTGAGGTCATGATCTCCTTTTGAAAAGATGTCTGCATAATTCGCCAAAAATTCCATAACCTGAAGAGCCTGTGATGATGACAGATGGACTATACTCTTCTTATGGAGGTCAGTTAAATGTTCTGGGAGAGGATGTCCTTTCTTTATGGTTGTATTTCTTGCCTTAACATTGACTGGCTCTACCTCCTTGCACACACCCAACAATGCCCCTTAATTAAGTGTCTGCTCACATTTAGAAAAATTGGCCACTTTTATGGGTACTACTTGATGACCTGCCACAAGTGACCTTCCAATCTTCATGTCCCTGACCTGGATGGGTCTCCCACTGCTTCCACAAGCATCGGGCTTCCTTGGGGATGTTCTTTTATTCTACCCCAAATTATCTTTTCTGATATAGGGGGTATTGTAGTTGACTTAAGTGCTGTTACATGCAAATCAACAGATGCAGCAACACTTACCGGAATTTGGCCTTTGTTGTTACCAATCGTCATTTTATCGAAGTTAACTACACACTTCCTCGGTAGTAAGTAGTCCAACCCTAATATGCATTGGCTTTCAATGTCAGCCAAGTATACTTTGTGTCTGTCCTTTATGCCCATGAGCTCAATAGTTATTCACACTGGTCCCCCACAACCTTGCATAATGTCGTATCACACCACAGAGCTTCTGTATAGCTTCTGGTACTCCCTTATGATCTAGCACCTTGATACTGTTGCGTG